CAGAGATCTTTACTAAACAGATTTACTAGGCCAGATTTACTAAACAGGGCAAATTAGCTCTAGAGCGCAATTCCAAAACAGCGCCGATGGGTGTGGAATTTTCTGTGGGTGATTTATTAACAACGCGCAAATTAAAGGGGTCATATGACGTTGCTAAAAAGAACAGTATGTTGTGTATTTGGTGTAATGTAATGTGTTTATGCGGTTTAAGGTTCCAAAAACACATTCTTTTCCACATTATGTACATTATTGTTTCTCCTCTATGCCCCGCCTTTCTGAAACGCGCCGATTTTTACAAAGCTCATCGTTCTGAAAAGCGAGGTGTGGGCGTGGACAAGTCTTAACTTTTATAAAGAATATCTCTTTGGGTTTGAGACTTTATTCTTTGCAACTTTAGGGATCTTATCTATTCACGAACAGCTTGTAACACTCCAAAGAGAAAGGAAAATTTGAAATTGCATCATATGACCCCTTTAAAGAACACAAATGCAACATCTCAATTACATATTGACCAACGCAATATACCAAGCACAGTGCAAATTAGCATAGTCGCGAATAAAGAAATAAAGAAGCCACAGTATGTTGAAAAGAACCGGAGGCCAAAAAATGAAGGGTTGCAAGAAGTTTTGATAGACCTGGTAGTGTGTGACTCCTAGTTGAGGGTTCCAAGTCGTCTTTTATTTCCTGAAGCAAATTAAAAATAACATGGCTTGCAAAACGATATGTTCAGATGGTGTTCTTATGGCATTCAAAATAAATTAATATGTGTAGAAAAAATCCTCTCCCTTCTACCACGCGCTCTCTGTTCTCTGCGGTGAACAACAATTGCAGCCATTTCAAGTGCAAAATAGTTTAAGACATGCTTTTCTGGCCATTAAATAATGGCGCAAATACCAGTAATTTGACGAGCGCAAATGTTAGTAAATCACGTTGCATGATTAATTTGAATACTCTCATCCCATAACTTTTGCGTCTGAAAGGGAAACTCCTACAAATGCATATTCAATAAGGTCAGACACAAATATAACTGTGTCCACGCCTTTTCAGCGCTAATTCGTCACTGCATGTCTTTAGTAAATCCTGACAGTACTATTTTAACACCAAAAGACTGTTTGCGCTGGTGCAAGCTGTTAGTAAACTGGCCCTAGGTCATCAGAAGACTGTAGAGCTTAAGAGATTTCGACAAAAACAGAATGGCTGTCAGTCACAAGGATCTTACACATCCATATTTGATTATGCTAATTTGGCTCCACCAACAAACTGCACCAAATTCTGTAGATTTCCACCCCCCTAAATTGGCTTACACATAGTACACTCAGAAGGCATTTGAATCCGCTAATGTATTCATTATTGTTCGGCTTCAGATAATAGTTCATAGCTAGAGGGCTCATGTCAGCAAGCTGGTTGCGTCTTGGCACGGATATTCAGAAAATGACTTCCACTTGCCTTTTATCATAAAGGGTATTGTGCGGCGTTATGACTCTTTGAGCTTCACACTATTGGTTAAAGTAAGATAACAGCTTGTTTTGTCGCTAGCGGTGCCGCTAACGGAAGGCTACACCGGCAGCCTCAAAGACGCAACGGGCAGGATGAATAATGGAAATTTGAAATGTAATTATACATAAAAGATAATAATTGAAAACCTTCTCGGGCTGAGCGAAAGGGAGATTTGAGGGAAAAGTGAGAGGGATCAAAGACGTTTTCTGACAACATAGTCAGGGAATGATTGTGTTGTTGCTGTTAAATACCCCTCTTTCTTGGTGAGCTTGGGACTATTTGGGAGTTAAAGGCTAGGACAGTAATGGTACGCAGAAACCTCAATAATGTTTATGCTAACTTTTCCTCTCTGTACCAATGAACAGTAAAGACAAAGAGATTGATAGATTTGAGAAACACTAGCAAACCTTCCCAGATTATAGATTCTCAGTGAGCTTATCCGAACCCAAGCGGAAACGGGGATGGGGGGAAAACACACAGCTGCAAATATGTAATGAAGTCAGTGGGGAATCGTCAATCGGCTGAATAGCAAGCAGGAGTACCCAAAATTGTCCGGTTCAGGCAGGAAGGAGCTCTGAGAAAATTTGCTTGCTTTGGAGCTGCTGGGAATTCATTTGTATTTAATGAATTTGGATATGCTATGTTCCTTGCTAAGATTTCCTCAATGACATTACTCAATCATTAGATAACTGTTCATAGAAAAGGGCATCACAACCCCAGCGAAGACGGGGAGAATTCAGAGCTCCCCGAGAGCTCGGCGCACCACTGTGGCATGGTTTATTTATCAACCCCTGCTCCAATAACATTAAAATTCGTGCCTGTTTTCTGCAGTTGGAGGCTCCAGAATCGACGGGAGAAGGAGGCCGAATGCCTGGTGGCGATTTCCACCAGATTTTCCGTCGGCGTCACGTAGCACAGATTGTGCGCGAGCGGTTCCCGTTCGGCTGCACACCTGAGGAGACTTTAGAATGCTCTCCAAGCCCACCTGCTGTCGCCCGGCCGCCCGCTGCGCCAATGTGCACATCAAACGATCCGTGTACGAACGCACACACTCTAGAAACCACCTTCCATTTCTGTCTCTCCCTGCCACGCCTCTAAACTCCCTGATCCCATCATGCTGTTGATCCGCCGCGAGCAGGTGTGAGTCATCGACCCAGAAGCCAGAATCTCATTGGCACACAGAATGTTCCACAGGATGCAGACTGTGCGCTTAAACCGCAGCGTGAGTCCCTGCTGTTGAGGTCCCGCCGCCACATGTGGCAGTAGTCGTCGTTCAGCCAGAATGAATGTCTCTCCAGGAGAGAGGGACGTATTGACGCTACCTGTCGAAATGCAGTGGTAGAGTACTGAAAGACCGATAAAGAAGAGTTGGGGTGGGGTAAAGCCCCAGTGGTAATGGAACGGTTGTTGGATCCAGAAACTTCGCATTCTTGGTCACCTCAATTGCAGTTGCTCAGGTGGTACATTTAGGCCTAAATTCTGCTGCTTTTGCTTCAAGGGAACCACGGGAAAGTACGTTTAATGCTGTTAAGAGCCCTCAAAACAATTGATCACATATAGTATAATATAATGATAATGTTGCTTGCCTGAAATGTTTTCACAGGCTGTTGAAATACCTCTCATGTAGTTTGAACTAGGAAGGTTGGGCTTAGAGATTTAGACTCTCATAAAAATTAGTCCCTGTTGGTAACTGCAGTTTTATAGTTTGCAAAAATCACACTTCCCCATCTGTGGCCTTCAAAAGTATGGCAACAAATGCAGTAGTGCCTAACTTCTTGAAGCTACAATGAGCCCTCAAAACAAATGATCACATGTAGTATAATAAACTGTTGCTTGCAAAAAATGTTTTAGAACTTGGGGGGTTGGTTTTGGTTATTTATCCTCAAAAAATTAGCCACTGTTGGTAACTACAGCATTTTGGTGGCAAAACTTGACAGCCCTCAAAAGTACAGCTAGAAATACAGGAAGGCTGACTTTCTGTTGCTACTCATTGAACTAGGGGTGGGCGATATGGCGAAAATATATCACAATTGTTTTTTTTTAAGAAATTTCACGATTTTATCACGATTCTTTGTCATGTTGGTTTTACTATTTTGCAAGTTGTCTGAGCATTACAGCTATTTACAGCTATAATATTTCCATATTATAAAGACAAAGTTTTTCAAGGTAACAAAATATAAAAAAGAATGGCGGACATTTAGGCTAAAGTGGGCAAAGATAAAAAATCTTTGTCATTATTTTATCTTTGTTATTAAAAAATAAGAACAAAGATACACATTACAAATACACATATTATACAAATAAAACAAACAGTGCTTTATTTTCAGGTACAATAGGTGAATTTAGCAGTTGCATTCAAGAAACTGAATGAACAAATATAAGAATAAAACACTATATAGATTGATTCCTATCAACTATCCAACTGTATTAAAATTTTTCAGTCAAGAGTAGTGAGTGATTTTTCTGTTTTGTTTTTTGTTTTTTTACATTAAAGAAATAGTTCACCCAAAAAAAAAAATTGTCATCTTTCTGTCAAATCTTCGAGTTGTACAGTATATTGAGATTTAAATGGAGGCACCAGAACTGCAGCTGATTGAATGTGTGCTGTAACACGATACTACGATATTTCTTCAAAAGCAGATCCTGAAGAAATTTTTATCGCCCACGATCAAAAATCTTCCTATCGCACACCCCTACATTGAACCCAACCCCTTCTTTAAACCTTATGACCCTAACCCCATAGCCTTTAGCCTTAGCCCTTACCATTTGAGTAGGACCTTTAGAAAGTTTTGATAGATCTCAAACTTCTGGCATACAGGGCAATGACCTCGGTTACGACCCAACCCTGGGGCATAATATGGAGGAATATCTAGTGTTTATCATGTACGGCCAATAGCCATTCTCAGTTCTGCAGTAGTATCCCGAGTATTACTACAGCTCTTGGGGGACCGAAAGAAATAATTCATGCCGTGGGATTTAAGCGTTGTGCTAAGCTTCAGCCCTGTGTAGCACATTTCGACATGAACTAATGGATGTTCAACTCACAGCTCACTCTTGACCCTCACCAACTTTCCTCCCATTGGGAACGGCAGTGGTTTATCTCCTTCGACTCCACACCCTGATACTTCCCAGCACGCTGATTGATGCAATCCAGCACTCCTGCGAACACCATAACATTGCTGCTAGTTCTTTTCCGTTTGCGTTTGACGGGATGCATTCAGACATATTTAGATCAGTCTAATTTTTCTTGCCTTGAGTGTGGAACTGCTCAGATTCAACAGAGTGAGTTAGCGTTAAAAGGTGAAGTTGGCTTTCAAACGGGAAAGGCCTTTGAGCAATTTATTTGGATACGATGTTGCACCAAACATACAAAAAATAAAATGCTTTCTGACAGTCTTGTTACTTTCGAACCTCTAATAGTTTGCTGTCTTCTCCCTCTCTCTGTCTTTTTTCTCTCTGTCTTTCATCCCTTTCTTTGGGGTGTATTTTTTTCTCTCTCCCAGGTGCTCTGCAGATAGAAAACACTGAGGAAACCGACCAGGGGAAGTACGAGTGTGTGGCGTCTAACGTGGAAGGCGTCCGATACTCTTCCCCTGCCAACCTGTATGTGCGAGGTAGGGAGCAACCTGGCCGTGGAGCCCATCGAAACCCACCAATTAGAGATGCACGACTGGTCACATGACCTGTTGTATATAAACTAATAGAGTCTTTACGCTAGAGCACATATTGCATATAATAAAATATGCTCATTTTCGATACTTAATGGGTAGTTTTCAGTCTTCTCTTTGACGAGCGGAAACTTGGGTCGTACAGGTATGTTTTATAATCAAGTTTTCAGGTTGAAGAGGATAATGGTAAGTCTTGATTTTGATTGGCCGATGCTATAAACCAATCAAAATACTAATCTTATTCCCTCCAAAAAGGTAAAATGGTCAATTGTTGCAAGGTAAACAATATGCATGTTGCTTATCACAAGTGTATACATTCAAAATGTAACATGCTAACAAGTAATTGCTAAATCTGTCTTGGTTCAGTTATTATTATTATTATAATGGAACGACTGTTTTAAGGCATTGCATTAGCACAGACGACTCTTGCCGCTAACCTTAAGAGGAGTTGAATCTCCAGGTTGATGATTTTAATAAATCGAGGCAGATGCATTTTGCGCATGTATTATTGATTTAATGCATATTAAAAAAGACAACGTATGGAATGGGTTTTACCCGCTGTATACCAAATAACTTTGTTCTGGATAAATTATTCACCGGCCATTATAAAGTGGGTCAGAGAGTTGTCTTTTCATTATTATAGTTATTATTGTTCTCATTATTATAGTTATTATTGTTCTCCCACTAGAAAAGATGCAGACGCTCCATCTCAAAACGACAGATACAGTTTCAATGAAATTTGTCATTTACTCCCATCAATCCAAACCAGTCTGAATTGTGTTCTTCAGTAGAATGCAAATGATGGGATTTCAACCTTAGACTTTATTTACTTTCATTAAATGGACAAAAAATATCTTCTTTTGTGTTCTACAGAGGAACAAATAAAGGTTTGGATCAACATAAGTGCGAGTAAATGATAGAATGATCATTTTGAGGTGAATAATCCATTTATTAATTAATTTACAAATTATAAATGCATAGTTGCAGCTATAAAAACAAACAGTTTTTAAATGTGATTATCATAAATGATAAATAATTGACTGTTGGTGAGTTTTAGCAGTTACCACCAGTTTATTAAAGAAATAAGCCACAAGAGGCCTTACTTTTACAGTGACATTACCATGGTAAGGGTATTTTAGGCACATTATGCCTTATAGCACCTCTTAACCATGGTAAAGTCAGTGTAAAACTATGACCTCATGTGTTTTGAAGTATTTTAGTCCTACAATTTTAAGAGACGTTAGATGTTCAGTTGCATTTGATCTGATGTCTAGTGACATTTGAGTAATTGGTCGACTGGAGATTTCTGAAAGCCATTCAAATTACCACAGCGATAATTAATTCAACATAGATATGCTAATGTCTCGCTGATTATGCGCATACTGCATTAAGACAGTATCCCGTCTCCTTTTGTTTTGTTTTCACAGCTTAATCATTGGGTACAATCAAATGTTTTCTGTTCTAAAGTTAACGGCACTTGAAATTAGCAGCTACGATGGAGGAAACAGCTCAGCCGTTTATACGAGCCAAACTGCATTTACGTGTCGCATAATAGCGCGACGCCTTTAGAATCGGTTGACTTGATTGTAGCTGCTAACTTTAATGCTAATTATGTGGTTTTTATTTGTACGGTCGGTTTGATTTGGTTTGCACTTTGGGTTGTTTCATTGATTTCTGGTTTTGTGTCTTTGTTTTGTGTCTGTAATTAAAGCCGCAGCGGCAGCTCTTCAGGTGGCTAAAGACCTTGTAATTTTGCATTGTTATAACATGCTTGAATAGACGCCAGTGGCCGAACGCAACCACTGGGGTGAATCAAACTGTTTGGGTCAAAGCAGGTTAACGCGGCAGACATGTCGCGTGTCACGCAAGAAATAATCAGGCGACATCAGTCAGAGAAATGTAGCAGCTAAAAGCCTTGAGGTGGCCTTTTTTACTCTCTCTGTGTTTCCCCTATTTTTCTCTTCTCCTCATGTCATTGTGTTCTGCATCAACCCCTTTACATCCCTCAGAGCTTCGAGAAGGTTGGTGTGTTTTTTCTTTTTTCACTTTTTTTAACCCACATTAAAAAAACGCAAAATCAACATGTATTAAAACCTTAACCTTGACTGATCTATTGGAAGGATCCTTGGCGATTCGGAGTTTAAAATTAAGCTGCTAAATAACTTTTAAATTCTTAGAGTTTTGATTTAATTGCATAAACTAGTAGTAACTAACCCGCTAATTCGGGTTTATTTTCCTTTTTACGTTTAAGTTTGCATTGTGGGGCCTTTTCTCGTTTGCATCCTTCAGTATTGCTTTTGCCCAAAGAAAATGCTTATGCTGTCATGGAAATCTCGCATTTGAAAGTAAACCACAGCCTGATGCATGATAGGAGAATGTAACTGCGCTTGCATGCCTCGAGACGCAATTCCTTTGGCTGTCGTGCTTTGTTGCATTCCTGTGTTTTCGTGAGGTTTATTATTTTCTTTGTTTTTGTCCAAAATGAGAGTTCGAGCCTTTGTTGGTGACTCATTCAGTCAGTTCCTTGTGTTGTGGTGTTCGTGTGATGTGCACCCCTTAGTTTTGTTCATTTTAGACTCCCTTTCCGTTCTAGTTTCTGGTTTGTTAGATGTGGTTTGTGTTTCTGTGCTCTGTCGTCTCTTGTAGGCTCTTTCTGCAGACAGTTTTCCCGCCATCTTCTCAATTACAAAGCCGTTCTTGCACACAAAAGCTTGCAAATTCACTTCTGCTAATTAGTTTTTGTGCCACATGGATCATTGGCAGATATAATGATCTCCGCACTTCATGTGGCCCCCCCAGAAAACAGGCTTTATTTCACAGCGGCAACAAGCTAGCGATATTTCCTCATGATGACTGACTGCCTCTTGCCCTTTCGCAGTCTGCAGGCTCAATCAAATTAGGATTTATCATCCGCTCGAGTCCTCGTTGCCAGCGTACATCTGAAGCGCTTCTTACATCACCGAGACGTGCTGTATTAAAACCCCCAAATTGGACCAGAACAAAAAGCAGGTGCTTTGTTTGTGAGTCTCTCTATGCTAATCCTTCGCTAATGCAGCCCAGCGCAGTAATTGCACGCCTGTTTCATATGCATATCGAAGTCCCGTCTGCCTTTTGGATTCTAGGTAATTTAGCTTTACGTGTTGGTTGCATGCAGAGCTGTAGCAGCCACTACAATATTTACCATTTTTATGCTCGTCCACACACTTTTAAGGAGATTTTCAGAAACTTAGTCTTGTTTTATAAGCGAAAAATATCTAAACGTACTTTAAAAAAA